AACCTGCCCAGGGCAGAACTGTGTCTGAGGCATGCGGGACCCTCCCTGAGGGCCACCCAGGTGTCCCCAGAATGAGAGGCAATCATCACATGCAATTTCTGCTGTTCCTGTTTAGCCCCTGAGCTGAATTCTTCCTTAAAGAGTTTATTTACCGGCTGTACTAAGTTTAGAGGAAGCCTCCGGGAGTTCAATGCTCTGCTTACAACGTCAAGTTTGAATTGAAGGCACAGACATATTTTGCAGTGAAAAATTATAATTGGATCAAGTCAAATAACTTGCTGGACAATATATCCTTTTCGAATTGCAGCACATACAACAGATTTCAATTATTGCTAACCATTCACACTTTCTCTTTTTAAAAGACCATTATTTATTCTTGAGACTCTCCAACTTAAAGCCTCAGCTCTAAGGGTGTGGGATGGAGCCCCCAGTGCTGCCCTTGGTGAAGCAGGGGCTGCCGTGGCAGTGACTGAGCTTCCACATACAACTGTTTGAAACCAGAGCAGTGAACTTCCCACTTGGCCAGATAGTACAGGGCAGTTTTTGGCTGAGGCCAACCCAACACCGTGCTCCTTGGACAGGTGGCAGAGCTCTTGAGGTAAACGCATTACCTCCAATTTGTCAATGTATGAACCCAGGCAATCCTAGCCAAAGAAGCCTAGATGACTTTGACCTTCACAGTGTACAAAGGAGAAATAGTCAGGAAAACCAGAACTTAACTCTATAGACCTCACACACTTGGGTCTTCTCACGTGACGGAGGATCTTAATGGTGTTCACTAAGTACTCGAGTAATGGGGGTGGTAGTAGAATGTACCACTCGGCAGATTGGAAAACCATGAGCAAGCCTTACGTTAGTGGTGAGAGGCTCCATCATGGAGACTTTCTGCAAGCTGAGGGTGTCTGTGACTGTTGGGACAGCTTCACAACCTATCAGAATCCGCTCCCAGCCTAGAGGCTTGGCCTTGCTGGTCACGGCAAAGGGTGACTTCTGCTGTGTCTGAGCCCCTGAGATCTGGCATTCAAAGGGGATGGACAGGGCGCACCTCGCAGCCCAGACCTGGATCAGCACGGTCTGCCGTGTAGGATGAACACTGGTTCTGGGAACACAACTGGCTACCTCAGGATGAGCTGCAGGAACTGGGTACCAGGATTATTCAGTGTGGAGCCAAGAGGCTAGACTCAGGGACCAGGCATTGGGTACCAGTAACAATGGTAATGCCCCGTCCTGTGGCCCACTTTATCACGGTGCTACTGGGCACATGTCTCAGGAGCACGGGGGGAATCTAGGTGCTGAGTAAGGACACTCTGCAGCCTTTGTTAATGCTGGCCATCCTCCCCGGGAGTGTGGGTTGTCAGAAACCTTCTCTTTTCCACTGGTTCTCTCGATCACTAGTCTCTGAACATGGATGCTACTGTTCAGTGTTCTGATACGTCCTTTCTGTGTGGCTGGCCAAGGTCAAGCCACAACCCTTTGAACAGCAGTGGGTTCTGAGCTTTCAGTGCCCTGGCACAGGTTCTCATCTCACCGAATGTGGCCACCCGACAGGCTGGACATCTGCAGTGGGTCACCCCCAAGTTCTGCTGCCCGGGCAGCCCCTGCAGTCTGTCTAAACCCCAGTCCTGGCTCCTCCAGCCCCCACTGCCCTCAGGGTGCACAGGTGCTCGGCCTGGTTTAGCGCAGATGAGCACACAGAGCTTGTCCCTGGAATGCACTGTTTTCATCAAAGAGGCAGATTCTCACTGTGTCCATGTAACAGATGTGTGTATCTGTACATGCTCTGAGTGTGCCAGGGCGATGACATGTGACAGTATTTCCCAAGGAGTGCTAACAGGAGCTCATTGTAGAGAACATCAAGAGGCATCTCATAGAAGAAAAATTTAAACTGGTTTCTATGCTGCAGAATTTGTAAGAGCCTTTATGAGCTCACTGAGCCTGAGAGGAGCCTGTGATGGCCCCCCAAATTTATGTGCGAATAGCTCTTTTTCTGGTGCTACAGCTCACTGATTACCTGAGTAGCTGCAACTGTATTCCGAAGTGGGGAAATAGGCAAGTAGAGTAACATTGTTTACTCTGAAGCAGAAGCGGAATGAGCAAGGCATCCTTCAATTGTCGGCAACGGCCATACCCAGTATGCATCTGTGTTTAGTTTCACCTTGAATGCTTTAACTGGTTGCCAGTGTTTAAAATTTGGGAAACTTCACATAAAAATCTAGATTTCTGGCTTCTTTTCCAAAACTGGCCCACACTGGGTCTGTAATCCAGGTGGCAACTGGAAGGAGGGAGCAGGGCTGCTCTCCTTAGAGAAAGCCGGAGCTTCCTACCACCCCTGTGGTCTCTCACCTGCAGCCTCCCTCAGCCTCACCTGGTTCCTGCTGGCCACTGAGCATTCAATTTGCAACCCTTCCTTTGCACCGTAGGCACTGCTTTTAAGTAATCCTGAAATTTACTAAAAATTATGTATTTGGAAATAGATATGTGATATATCTTGCTGAAATCCAAGTATGTCTAATTTGTCAGTTGAGATAATTCCTGTAAAAAAAAAAGCCCCCCAAAACTATTCATTGCATGAAAAAGAAAAAAAAAGAAAGAAAATTAAAAAAACTACTATAGTCACTACATGAAAGGGTAGAGTTGATCCCCACTCTTGGACAAATAAGTTAGCACACAGACAGGGCTGAGGGCTCAGAGGCCATCTTCACTCTCGTTGGACTGACGGACTGGCCCAAGCCCAGGAAAGGAAAGTGATCTGTCAGGGCAATTCATCGCCGGTTTCCCAAACTATCAGCAGTAGCCCTGACAATGGATACTACGTAGCAGACCTGCAATGTGTCCTGTATCCTCCCGTGCTGGGCATTTCATAGACTCATGACAACTGGATAGGTGGGAGGCATTACCTGCAATGTGCATAATAAAAATGCAAAGGTTGGCAAAATTAAGTGGATTCTCAGCAGCCAAACGACTAGTGGTGGTAGGACTCCACTGTAGGTCTGCCAGGTTCCAACACTCCCTCCCTCCCCACCAGACTACTTTCAAATTCAGTGGCACCACACAGATGAGGGCAGAAAAACATGCCCTGTTCCCTGTTTGGATAAAGCATCAGGTTCCAAAGACTCAATGATTATCCTGGCTGTGGCCATGGTCAACATTAACTCCCATATTTGGGTAGAAATCAGCAAGATTTTACATCAAGGGTCAGCACCAGCAAAGCAAACTATGAGTCTCGTGCGCAGCATCCCCAGGGACACAGAGTTAAACGTGTCTGATTAGTTTCAGATGTGGAGCTCGAATGTGTGCAATCCCTGTGCAAACTAGCAGAACAGAACTGAGATTACAGTAGAAAGTTATTTTTCTTTATGTTAAATGATAACAGGGAAATGTCATAATTTTTCTCTGCTTTCACAGAGGCAAACAACGCAGGCCAAGTCCAACTAAACGCATCTTGTGTGGCGTGGAGGCAGAAAGGGACCAATTGCTGCCTTCTAATTTCCTTCCTGATGAAATATAAACTTGGCCTTGGAGTTGTCCTTAGAATTGAAGAGCTACACTTTACAATTATTAGGGAATGTATATAGCAACATGGGAAAGTGCTCATGATAAAATGTTAGATACAAAGAAATCTAAATAAAATATTCTTGACAATACATTAACCAAATAAAAGGCTGTGCGTTCGTATGGATGGGGTTGGAACAAAACGTGAAAAATATAAAAGCATTCATTTTAGTGATTGACCCATGAACTAACTCTTTAATCATTTTACCTTATTTCTATTAACATTTCCATAATGTCATTTGATTAGCTCTTAGAGTTATCTAAAAGGTACAAATAGTTAACGGGCTAAAGAGAACAAACACGCCTTTCCGCGTAAGAGTGAATGAAAGGAATTACGACAGTGTGGGCTGGCCTGAGACAGACGAGTTACCAGCGCTCTGGAAGGAACGCGAAACAGACCAGTGCACATTAAGAAACTGGATATATGACCAAAGTGGAAGTAGGAGTCAGTGGGAAAAAAACAGATTTCTTCTTCACACAACACCCAAAGTAAACCCCAGGTAGAGCAGAGTCCAAATGTGAGAAAGCAACACTAAAAGTTTCACGGGACATTCAGACTATCTTTAGTCCTTCAGGGTATGGGAAGGATCTCTTAAATACGCATCATATACATTTAGGAGAAAAAGGACACATTCAGTGATATTAAATTAAAAGACAATCATTGTATAATAAAAGAAAAAAAAGTTAAATTCAAACCACAGACTTAGAGACTCTCCATATGCAAATGACTGCAAAGGCTATGAAAAGGTAACACATAAAAGAGAAGACCCAAGTTGCTAATAAACATAAGACAAGATGCTCATCCTTACCATCAGAGGACCGTAAATTAAAGCCACGTGAGATGACATTTGATGCCTACATGGCTGGCAAAGCTTAAGATGCCTACTAATCTTCAACACGGGCGTAGAGGTGGAATGAAAGGACGTTGCAGATGCCAGCCAGGGGGCTTGTCAACTGGACAAGCATTTTGCAGAGCAATTTGTCAATATTCCACAAAGTTGAAGATGAGTCTTTCTGATGTCTAATAATTTCTCTTCTAGAAAGCTCTCTACATGCAAATAGAGACATGTACAACCTGCTCATTGTTTCCAGTCCCGAAAAACTGGAACAACCTAAGTGTCCATTAATAGGAAAATGGATAAATACATGAATGAACAACACATGCATCATCATGCATAAATCTTAAAAACGAAACGTTGAGTAGAAAAGTGTACTGAGAGTATGGTACCATTTGTATAAAGTGTCAAAACAAGTAAGACACTATTATTAATACATAGTTTTTATAAGTACTTGCCTATCTGAAAACAGTGTGAAGACAGGATTGAGGATAACAACCCCCCACATCAGAGTGTGGAGACGTCTGTGGAGGGCTCCTGGCATACAGGGGACCCTGAGAGACAGGGGTGTGGCTCTGAGTGACTTCCCTCACCACCAGTCCCACGACTCACCTCAGATGTGAGTTCCCGCAGCCATTCCTCTCCCAGGAGGGGCTCTTTTGGGGACCCAGTTCCGGGGTTCCAGCGAGGTCCTGGTCACTGCAGTCCTCCTGGTCGGTGGCCCACTTGTCTTTGGACTTCACACTGTCGTGCTGCGAATCCAGAGACACGATGTCGGAGGGGGAGCTCATCACCCCCGAGTCCTCGGTTGTGTCTTCTGACGCGAAACAGCTGCCGACAGACACTGTCTCCTCAGCCTCGGACAGTACCTGCGGGGCTCCGTCCAGGCTGCAGGGACTGCCGGGCCCCAGGGGCAGGCTCACTGGACAAAACACGGCAAGGATAGGTCAGCCCGAACCTCTCAGTTCCACACCGTCTAACAAATGCAACATCAGTGTGTCTGACTCCTCTGAAATTTGGGATTCAGGGCGCTCAAAATAAAGGAAGACCCTCATTCGAACACAACTGCTTCCTCCCGAGACCTTTTAACTCAGAAGGAGCCATATGTGTACCTGTGATTAAGAGCGAAATTTTCCCTCAATCATTGGTGTTTGATTCATTGGCCTTTAAAAGTTGTATCCTCTCTATCCATGATTATGGGCAAACACATTTAAAAGTTCAGACTAATGATAAATGTAATAGTTTTAGTCTGACTTTTGGTTTAATTGAACTTGTTTTAAAATGAGATCTTTTAAAAAACATTAAGAACAGAGTTTTTAGACAAATAAACTTAGAAATAAATAATCCTGGTTTGGAAAACTGTGACAAAAATTTTGTTTCCATTTGAAATCAAACCCTCCTCTTCAGCTTCTGACTCCCCCTTAACTCCCACCCCTGAGACGAGTACCCCGGTTGGGGTCATCTGGCTCTCCTGAGCACTGAATGCGATTTGCTGCGGCAGGTCAGTGAGGTGCGCGGAGCTGCGACTCACCATCCAAGCCTGTTCTGCTAACGTCAACGTCCGTGTCGGGAAGGCTGCAGCCGCCCTGCACGTCCCCCTGGCTACCGGGAGGTACGTTGAGTGTAAGTAGTTGAAGTCATATTTTTTTCTTACTGAGCTTCCAGGTTCTAAAATCACAGAAAGCTCTATGCATAGAGCTGGGGTTTGAAGGACAAAAATACACAACTCTAGACCAGATGTACACCAGAGTTGTTGTTTTTTCATGTAGAAATAGATTTTAAACTTCAAGACACTTGAAGACATGTGATCTAAGCACTGTTTATGACAGTCTAGAAAGCAAGGACTGTGTTTTGTTGTAGTTCCAGTGATTTTTGTTTAAAAATCACTCCTCCGCTGAGTGGTCATTGGACTCCTAAAGTAAATAAAGGCCCACAGACATCTCTGAGTGCACACTCCACATAATCATGCCCTGATTGTGAAGTGACATCATAACTATACTCGGCATCACCAAAACTCTAACTGGACAGCAGACTAACAACATATAATTAACAAAACCGAAAGAAAATCCCTTCTTTCTTTGGCTTTGGTTTAGTTGAGATCCTGAACAATGAAACAAACAAAAGAACAAAAGTTTTAAAGAATACACATTTCACAAGAGAGCTCACAGTAAAGAACAGAAGGAAAAGAGGCCTTGTTTAGAGAAGCACAGATGCACAGGTGACACACTGAATGCAGTGAGTCTCGTCAACAGTAACCTCTTGCAGTTTTCTCCCAGCTTCTGCTGTGAGGCTCTTAATTAAAGGGCAAATCTGGAGAAGAAACACTGCCTGTACAGCCCGAAACTCCTTCTGCCAAGGGCTTACTGAAAAGCTGTCACACCCAGGATGGCCGCCGACTGTTCTCGCCCTGCAGCCCGCACATCGGCTGCGACGTCGTCCCGCAGCCAAGCCCACCTCGGACTACTGCAGCCACAGGGCATCCCTGTTCCTGCCATTCCTCTCTCGCCTTCCCTTGTGCCACCATCACTGAACAATAAAACCAACACCTTTTTTCTGTCTGTGTTGTATTTTCACGGCAGCATGATGCCGTGAAAAAGAGCACATAGCGTTCAGGTCACAGAGACCTGCATCTATTGGCTGTGCCCCGGCAGGCGGGGGAATGAGGCCGCCCACAGGGGCTGTGTGTCTGGATGGAAAGGGCCCCAAGACGGCACCTGGGGACACAGACTTCCAATCCAAGTGTCTGGGCCCTAAGGCGACTCTCAGTGTTTGAGGGGACAGACATGTACACAAAGAATGACAATGGCTACGGTACTGCCAACTCTAGGTGCACTTCGAGAGGTAGAGTGGGGCAGGTGATCTGGGTGCAGGTGATTTGGTACAGGTGTTGGCACATGTACCAAATACATGCTTGGTCCAGCCTGGCTCTCGCACTTACTGCTCCAGTAGGTATCGCTCAAGCGTGGGGCAACCTTAAGAAATCCGCCCCCAGCCATCCTCTCACCCGTCCCGTAAAGGCTTTGGGACCATCGGGCCAGGAGGTTAGCCTGGCACACACATCCCCTGGAGGCATGGAGTGCATCAATGGTGCGGGGACTCCAACCCCGCCTCTATGCCTTTTCTATCCAGTTGTAAGATCAGGCATGCTTATCTGGGCTTTTTAAATGTCCCTCAGAAGTTTTGAGGCAAAAAAAGGTTGAGAGCCAGTGGTCTAAATTAAGCCAACTGTAAAACCTTAAATCGACATGGTGCAAGAAGTCATATACTCAGCACATACGTTACACCGTCTAAAAGATGCCTAATGCCGAGTGCTGTTACCAGAACTCCCCTCCTGCCCAGGCGAGCCCTCCAGTTCCCTTCCCAGGGGCCTGTGTGGCCTGGGCACAGCCCATGACCCCATCCGTGCCTGCACCAGGAGCTGAGCAGATACGTAACGGGTTGAGGCAGGGGAGTCACCCAGGAATGGAAAGGGCAATTGCATAAATGTCCCAGCAGAGAGGGAACATGGGTGCAAGGCCATCCCGCACCAGCGGTGGGACGTGAACAGGGAAGACAGGGCAGACCTTTTGCAAGTGATGCCTGAACCAAGCTCAGAATACAGGGTGGGGGATGCTGCAGCCAACCAGAGACAGCCCAGGGGCCCGGACTGTGCAAAGAGAGCACAGGGCTCGGTGAGCAGCTTTCTGGGGAGGGTTGGGTGAGCTGTCAAAGAGTGCAGATTTGAAGAGAAGAACTGATATTGCTAAGAGGCCCCAACCTGGGTTAGCCTCAGATTTCTGGTAACTCCTTGCTGCAGTCAGCTCTGTCTGTCTGAGCATCTTTTGTTTGGAATCAGGCACACCTGTCTAACTCATCCTGCCCCACCCCAAGTCTCTGTTCTTCTTTTGGTGGTCTTGGTGACTAACCCCATGACCTGTAACATGTTTTGACAATTTCTGAATGAGATAATGGTGCAGGAGACGAGACGTTTTTTTCTTCATCAATTCTAAATATAAACCCGGAACATGAAAGAAAAACTTGGAGCTGCTTTGCTGCGACAAGGGTGGGGGCCAAGGTCCTGTCCCATTTCCCACCCTCCACACAGCACCACGGTGGCTCCGTGGACCAGCCTGACACCCACGGGCAGCAGCAGCAGCAGGAGGACTGAATGAGGGCCCCAATCCCACCGTTGGGCCCAGTACTCTCCCCTTTCTGCAAAGTGAGCAAGTTGGTTCCAGTAAGCTCTAAAATCCCTTCTTCAGAATCCTAGAAGAAAATGTAGGGAAGACTCTTTCAGACATTGGCCTAGGCAGGGAATTTACGAAGAAGACCCCCAAAGCAATCACAGCAACAACAAAAATAAATAAATGGGACCTGATCAAATTAAAAAGCTTTTGTACAGCCAAGGAAACTATCATTAGAGCAAATAGACAACCTACAGAATGGGAGAAAATATTTGCCCGCTACACATCTGATAAAGGGCTGATAACAAGAATCTATCTAGAACTCAAAAAAATCAACAAGGAAAAAAATCAAACAACCCCATTAATAAATGGGCAAAGGACATGAACAGAAACTTTTCAAAAGAAGACAGAATAATGGCCAGCAAACATAAAAAAAATGCTCCACATCTCTGATCATTAGGGAAATGCAAATCAAAACCACCATGAGAGATCACCTAACTCCAGTAAGATCGGCTTTATCAAAAAATCCCAAAGCAACAAATGCTGGCGAGGATGTGAAAAGATAGGAACACTCTTACACTGCTGGTGGGACTGAAAATTAGTGCAACCTCTGTGGAAAAGAATTTGGAGACACCTCAAAGAGCTACAAGTAGAACTACCATTTGATCCAGCAATAGCACTGTTAGGCATCTACCCACAGGGAAAAAAAGTCATTCTGTAATAAACACATCTGCACTCGAATGTTTATGGCAGCACAATTCACTATAGCAAGGATGTGGAAGCAACCCAAGTGTCTGTCAATCCATGAGTGGATTAATAAAATATGGTATATGTATACAATGGAATACTACTCAATTATAAGAAATGACAGTGATCTAGCACCGCTTATATTTTCCTGGATAGAGCTTGAGCCCATCCTCCAAAGTGAGGTATCACAAGAATGGAAGAACAGGCACCACATGTACTCGCCATCAAACTGGCACTGACTGATCAACACTAAGGTGCTCACACAGTAGCAATATTCTTTGGGGGTAGGGAGGTTGGGGGTGGGTAAACTCACAACTAATGGATGCAGTGAGTGTTGTATCAGGGGAAGGGCACATCTCAAATAATGGCTGGGATGTGGCAAAGTCATAACACGTAACCAAAATGTTTGTACCCCCATAATTTCCTGAAATAAAAAAAAATAAAAATAAAAAAAAATAAAATCCCTTCTAGACCTAGGACCATATTCACCCTTTGAAATTCCAAATAAAAATGTAGGATATAAACACTCTGACAGCTGCCTGGTGACTAATTAGGAATCTTAAAAGGAATACATTGCCTTTATCCTTCCTGCTATTTTGTCTTCCCTAAGAGTGTAAGTCATTATTTTTGAGTTAATTAATGCACTGGCAACTTTGCTATTCTTTTAAGGCATGAACAATATTTTCAACTAAAAATTGCAGAATTTTTGCAAATGTGAAAAAACACACTCACTTTGTCTTCAGCAGAAGCCTGGTGTAAATTCATGATTAAACGCTCTTCCAAAGGAGCAGCCGCAGAGCCTACGCACGGAATATTAACCCTTCCATTGACTGCCACCTAAATTACATAATCCCATGGTTCAAATGCCATTATGAGCATCTAAATGAGAGCTTTGGAAAATTCTCCAGCCCAAGTATAAAGGAGAAAACACTAACTTAGGGCTACTAGTTCCTCAAGTTGAACACAACCATTCTCAATTTGGTATAAGTTTGGTTGAATTTTACTTTTACAA